TTCTGTGAAGACTGACAGCCTTGGAGACCCTGTGGGGCAGTTCCACTCTGTCCTCTAGGGGAGCTGTGGGTCAGAATCCACTTGATGGCAGTGGGATTTTTTTTGGTTTGGGTGAAGGGTATTTGGGGATTCTCTGCACTACTTTTGCAACTTTTCTGTAAATCTCAAATTATTCCCAAATAAAAAGACTGTTAAAAGCATGAAGTGAGGAAGTTTTCGGTTAGGGGCCCCTGAACTTATGCTGATGGTGGGGTGATTTGAAGCAGCACAGCAGGAGTGGTGGCCACCGGGAAGCGTGTCATCAAAGTCACTGATCACACGTGGAGAAGCCGTTGAGACGCTGTGGGTCTGGGTAGGTACGCTTCCCCACAGTGATAGTGATAAACAGTAACAAACAGCAACACTAGAAGAAACCAACGGTCCACATCTGCCCTCCTGCCATAGAGCGGACCCTGGGTGTGGTCTTCCCTGACGGAGGTGTGAGCTGGTCCGAAGCCGCCTCCGAGCCAGAGGCCAGGGGACCTTGGCTGGGTCTCCGGGTGCTGAGCACCAACACCACACCCAAGTCTTCGCCGTCGATGCCGACTCACGGCGACCCCGCGGTTACAGAGCAGGGCTGGGACCCACGGCGTCTCCAAGCCTGTCATCTTCACAGCAGGGGACGCCAGGCCTTCATCTGTCGACGCCTCCGGGCGGCTCTGAGCTGTTAGTGGAACACAGGCCAGTCAGCCCACCCGAGGACCTGGCTGCGCACAGATGTCCTCAGGCCAGCTCCTCTACTGCTACTGCGACTTCTCCCTCGGACCCGGGGGTCCCGGCCCCCAGCCGTCCTCCCTCGGACCCGGGGGTCCCGGCCCCCAGCCGTCCTCCCTCGGACCCGGGGGTCCCGGCCCCCAGCCGTCCTCCCTCGGACCCCGGGGTCCCGGCCCCCAGCCGTCCTCCCTCGGACCCGGGGGTCCCGGCCCCCAGCCGTCCTCCCTCGGACCCGGGGGTCCCGGCCCCCAGCCGTCCTCCCTCGGACCCCGGGGTCCCGGCCCCTGCGGAAGATGCACTCATTTCTCTAAGCTGCTCCTCTCCTCTCTTGACCCCATCCCAGCTGCCCCCCATCAACGCCTCACTGACAGGTCCAACACAAGTGTTTGGAGAGAGGTGTCCGGCGACCAGACACTGGGGTCCTGTTTGGGGAAAGGATGAGACAACCAGATTCCAGAGCGATGCAGTGAGGGATGACCTCAGACGTCCACCCGGAGGGGCCGCGGGGCCGGGCAGAGCGTGGGAGCAGGTGGGGCGACAACTGCACGTCGGGGAGCCTGAGGGGGAGGGGCAGGGAGAGGCGGGCTGGGTCCTGGGTCTGCAGCGTCCACAGTGGGTGGGGGGAAGCCAGTGCCGGAACCCCAGGTCTGAGGGGGAGAGAGCTGGGGGGAGGGACTCCCAGGTCTGAGGGGGGAGGGACTCCCAGGTCTGAGGGGGGAGGGCTGGGGGGAGGGACCCCTGGATTTGAGAGGGCTTGGGGGTCGGGACTCCTGGGTCTCAGGGGGGAGGACTGAGGGGTTGGGACCCCGGGTCTGAGGGGGCAGGGTTGGGGGCCGGGAGTCCCGGGTCTGAGAGAGGAGGGCTGGGGGGTCGGGCTCTCTGGATCTGAGGGGGTAAGGCTGGGGGGGTCGGGACCCCTAGGTCTGAGGGGGGAGGGCAGTGGGGTTGGGACTCGTGGGTCCCAGGGAGGAGGGCCGGTCTTGGGCCCCGGTTAATGCCGGTCCATACTAGTTCTGAGAGTCAACACACGGTGTCGCTCTGTCCCCAGAGGGGGGCAAAAGGGGTGTGGCCAGGGGCGGGGCCTCGAGACCCCCGAGGTAGGGGCGGGTCTTGCTCCTGGGCAGCCTCTGCTGGCATGGGCCCTAAGTGCCGGGCACTGACCACAGCAGGCGGCCGGAGGGTCAGGAAACCTGGGAGAAGGTGAGGCTTGGAGGTCTGACCCGGGTCAGGAGGCGGCCCCCGCGAAGAGGCCTCAGTCAGGCAGTACCTGGGGCTGGAAACGGCCATGTGTCCAGGCCTGCGTCCCTCGGGGACAGGCCTGGGCCTGGGGCTACACAGTGGCTGGGTTTCAGGCAGAGGGCCTCTGGGCTTCCTACTGTGTGCGTGGCACGGAGTGCCAGGAAGCGGGTGGGCTGCTTGCAGATTCTGGGGGCCTGGGATGCTGGGGCGGGGTGTGGTCGTGGGCTGAGGAACCTGGGGGCTGGGGGCTTTGACTCCTGGTTCCAGGATGGAGGGGCCCAGGCCTCCGGTGACTCAGTCTCCCTTCTCCAGTGAAGTGTCTAAAGGGCAGAGAGGGCAGTCCTCGGTGTCAGGTGAGGCATGCCTGCGTTCAGAGGTCTCTCGACCCCGCCCCCACATCCATGTGCCACTTGGTGGCCCAAGGGTGAAAGATGAACCAGATAACTCGAGACACCCCCAACCTTGTTTCCAAAGCAAACAGACTCAGGCCACGGGGTGGGGGTGGGGGAGCAGGCGCTCCTGAGAGCAAGCAGGTGCTCTCTGCCCCCGGGGGCTGCTCAGGGCGGGGCTCCTCTCACCGGGCGCCCCCGTGCCTGGGTCCCGGAGGGGAGTAGTGAGGACTGGCATCATCCCCAAGCCCTCAGGAGGCCTGGCGTCCACCTCTCCGAGCCCAGCTTCTCCTTCCACCCAGGAGCCAAGCCGCCAGTCCCTCCACCCTCAGACCCAGGAGCCCTGACCCCCAGACCCACCTCCTTGGAGCCGGGGTCTCAAGGCTGCCCCCCATCACCTCCCCTATGTCTGTCCTTGCAGGGATGCCCGGCAAGCAGGCCAAAGAGGAGCAGGAGGACGGCGGGGCCGCCGAGGACGGGGCTCAGGAGGGCCTGGGGGGCCTGACGCAGGAGGAGCTGCGGCAGGGCCAGGAGGCCGCGCTGGCGCTGGAGGGCCTGATGGCGCAGAGTGGCCAAACCCTCGTCAGGGCCGAGGTGGCCGAGCTGTACCAGGACGTGCGTCTCCTGGGCCAGGGCCGCTTCGGCCGGGTCGTGCTGGTCACCCACCGCCAGAAAGGTACCGGGCCTGGGGACACAGAGGGTGGCGTGGGGCGGGGGCCGGGGAAGCCGGCCAGTCTGGGTCCCATGGTGCGCTGCTGCCCCTCCCAAGCTGTGCGATCTTGGGGCTCCCTGGCCCCCTGCAGATCTTCAGCTTTCTGGTCCCCAAACGGGTGGCCATATCCGCCCCAGAAGCAGCGCTTGTTCCTTGTGCGGCTCGATGTCCTGGTTGCCGGGGACGGCAGGGACGAGGCAGAGTCCGCGCCTGTCAGAGTGCTCACGCCTGGACGGCTTTGTGACACCACACGGACCGTCCTGCATGGCTTCGTCTCCCAAGCACTAAGTCAGGCCCGCGGGCAGTGGGTGTGTCAGAGAGGAGGGCTCGCCCTGGGTGCCCAGGAAATGCCACCACCGGTGGCTTAGAGGACAGGAGCGGCGAGGCTGGAAGGCCCGGTCAGGCCGCCAGCTTCCTGCCCCCTCCGGAGGCTCGCCCTTGGCTTTCCTGGTTCGCAGCCGCAGCCAGCCCCGCTCGGCCGCCGGAGTCACGTCACCTCTGTCCCTTTCTCCGCGTCTGGTCTCCTTGTCTCAGGGCATCACCCCCGAATCTCACCTGCCCTACCTCATCGTGTTGTTGGGTGGCCTGGGGCCAATTCCGACTCACTGAGACCCCGAGACGGAGCAGGACAGACCCAGAGGGTCGTCAGACGGCAGCTCGCCTCGTTTTTGGCGCCTCCCTTCATCGCTCCTCCCAGATGCCAAGTTTCACACATGGATGGTTTGTGGCACCCGTGCAGCCAGCAAGCCTGCTGGCGCCATTTTTCCAACAGCATGGTCTCACTTCATGTCCCTGGGTCCCGTTTTGGTCACTCTCACAGTATTTCAGACTTTTCCATCACGCTATTGCACACTTTGGGAGCTCTGGTAGCTCAGTGCTTAAGGCACTTGACTGCTAACCAGAAGGCTGTCGGTTCAAGCCCACCAGCCACTCCTCGGAAGGAAGGTCGGGGAATCTACTTCCATAGTGATACCGTCTCGGAAACCCAAGGAGGGGTCAAACAACATTGCATGCTTTGCAGATGCCATCAGAGTGTCAACAGAATTTTTAGGTGCACTGGGAAGCCAAAAAGCAGCTCTGGTGGCGTGGTGCCGAAGGCATGTGACTGCTAACGAGAAGGCTGGTCATTCGAACCACCCGTCGCTCTGTGGGAGGGAGACCAGGCAACCTACTTCCATGAAGACTGACTGTTTCGGAAACCCAATGGGGGTCACTATGAGTCGGAATAGACTCAAGGGCAGTGGGCTGGGTTTGGTTTTGGGGAAACCAAAAATTACGTGTCAGTGACTTGATTGGGATGTTAGCTTTATGACGGTGGTCTGGGACCAGACTGTAACGTCTCTGAGGTATGCCCGTCATCTTTACAGGGGCAGCTTGCCAGGTCTGTACCCCGAGATCTTTACCCCAAGTGGCTTCAAACCGCCCACCTTTAGGTTGGGAGCCAAGTACTTTACCCATCGCACCACCAGGGCTCCTTCTACTGCAGTATGACCTCATGATTATGTGCACCTTCATGGATAACCTGTTTGTAAACAAGTCGCACTGCCAGGTACCAGGGGTTAGGACTTCAGCATGGAGGTCTGAGAACACGTTCCCACCCAGAGCACCTGTCTCATCTGGCACCTTTGGGCCCAGCATCCTCTCATCCTCTGACCTTCCCATTAAATAGGAATAAAACCCAAAGCCGCTGTTGTTGGGTCGATTCCAACTCATATGACCCTGCAGTACAGGGTATCTCAGACATGCTGTGGTCCCAGACCACCGCCACAAAGCTAATGTCACCGTCAAGCAAGTGACACGGAGTTTTTGGTCTCTCAGTGCATCTGGAAGTTCTCTTGGCACGCTGCTGTGCCCTGTGATGAAAAAGTGTGAAATACTGTGAGAATGACCAAACGGGACGCGGGGACACAAAGGGAGCCCGGGCTGCTGGGAAATGATGTCACCAGGCCTGCTCGACACGGGGGCGGCCCCAGTAGGCTCCTCCCTAGAGACCCCTGAAGGAGGAGGGCCGCTGACACCGTGATTTGGACTCAGAGTACGAACTGTGACGGGGAGATGTCTGTCCTCACAGGCCAGCCAAGGAGCCCTGCTGGCACCGTGCTTAAGGCATTTGGCTGCTAACCAGAAGGTCGGCGGTTTGAACCCACTAGCTGCTCCACGGGAGAAAGATGACGCTACGTCCCTAAATACTGACAGCCTTGGAGACTCTATGGGGCAGTTCCACTCTGTCCTTTAGGGGCGCTGTGAGTCGGAATGGACTCCAGGCAGTGGGTGTGGTTTGGGCTTTGCTTCTGTAAAGATTAACAGCCTTGGAGACCCTGTGGGCAGTTCCACTCTGTCCTCTAGGGGCGCTGTGGGTCGGAATGGACTCCAGGCAGTGGGTGTGGTTTGGGCTTTGCTTCCATGAAGATTGACAGCCTTGGAGACCCTGTGGGCAGTTCCACTCTGTCCTCTAGGGGCGCTGTGAGTTGGAATGGACTCTGTGGAGTGGAGTGGAACTGCCCCACAGGGTCTCCAAGGCCGTCAATCTTACTTAAACAGGCAGCCTCATCTTTCTCCAATGGAGTAGCTAGTGGGTTCAAGCACCAACTGTCGGGTTAGGAGCCCAACGCCTCAACCACTGCCCTGCTCCTTATCCACAGGTCAGGGGTTAGGATTCCAACGCATAGTTTGGGGCATCAATTGGACCTACAGCAAAGGCTGAGGTAGGCGTCCACCTGCCTGTCTAGGGACACACAGTTCATCCATCACCGTGCCTCGTGACTCCATGGCTCTCCCACCTGCCTCCTGCCCCTCACAGGCACCCCCATGGCCCTGAAGCAACTCCCGAAGGCCTCCACCTCCCTCCGTGGTTTCCTCTATGAGTTCTGCGTGGGCCTCTTGCTCGGCCCGCATCCCGTCATCGTGGCTGCCTACGGCATTGGCATCGAGTCAGGCGACTCCTACAGCTTCCTGACGGAGCCAGTCCTGCACGGGGACCTCATCTCCTTCATCCAGCCCAAGGTGGGTGGGCGGGTCCTGACCTTGCCTCAGCAGCCTCTGGCCTTGGTGTTGGATGGTGCAGACAGTCTGCACTTGGCCCAGGACCTAAAGGTTGGCAGTTCAAACCCACATTGTCATGGAAGAAAGGCAATGTTTCTGTAAAGATGACAGCCAAGGAAACCCCGCGGGGCAGATCTACTCTCATACGGGGTGGCTGTGAGTCGGAGGTAACTGGATGGCATCTATTTTATGATTATTATTGATGTGGGCCTCACTCAGACCAGAGGGGCCTCCCTGGGCCTTGCAGCCCTCACTGGAGTCAGGTCTTTGGGATTCACTGACACCCCAGAACTGAGGCTATCCCCAGTCCCGAGACTGACTGGGCTTCACCTAGTAACCCTGGGCTTCACTGGGGCCCATCAGGCCTCAAGGGCTCCACGAAGCCCCACTGGGGACCCTGCGTCTCACAGGTTCCTCCAGGGCCCACTGGAACACCCAGGCCTCACACAGACACATTGGGTCTAATCGCAGCCACTCTTTCCTGACGGCCGTAATCCTCCCTGGGTCCCCGCCGCCCTGCTTCTGGGGCCTGGGTTGAACCCGTCTTTTCTCAGTGCCCCACCTGTGGCCGCAGGTGGAGGGACCCCGACAGCCTGTCTCCCACAGATTGGCCTCCGGCAGCCGGCGGCCCAACGCTGTGCAGCCCAGCTGGCCTCGGCCCTGGAGCACATCCACTCCCACGGCCTGGTGTACCGAGACCTCAAGCCCGAGAACGTGCTTGTGTGCGACCCCGCCTGCCAGCGCGTCAAGCTGACCGACTTTGGCCACACCCGGCCCCGCGGGACCCTGCTGCGCCTGGCCGGGCCGCCCATCCCCTACACGGCCCCCGAGCTCTGCGGCCCGCCGCCCCTGCCCGAGGGCCTGCCCATCCAGCCGGCCCTGGACGCCTGGGCGCTGGGCGTTCTGCTCTTCTGCCTCCTCACGGGCTACTTCCCCTGGGACCAGCCCCTGGAGGAGGCAGACCCCTTCTACGAGGACTTCGTCGCGTGGCAGGCCTCGGGTCAGCCCCAGGACCGGCCACAGCCCTGGTTCGGCCTGACGCCCGAGGCAGACGCTCTGCTGTGGGGGCTGCTGGACCCTCACCCCCGAAAGAGGCAGCCCGTGAGCTCGGTCAGGGCCTACCTGGGCCAGCCCTGGAGGCAGCGGGACGGGGAAGGAGAAGAGGCCTCAGAGTGAGACGGCTGGGGAGGCAGACAGCGGCGCCGAGGGAGCGGTGTCCAGCCGGGGCCTGGGGACACTCGGAAAGAGACGCTGCTTCCATGTCGGGGTCCTCTCTGGGTTCATCCGCCGGCCTTCGATTGCTCCGGTTTTCCTCTCAGTCCTAGAATTTCCCGCTCTCTGCCAGTCTCACGTCTTAGGCCCCAGCTTACAAGGGAGCTCTGTTCTGACGACTCGTTTCCATCCTGAGTCTGTTAGACATAAACCAACCCTTTCGCTTTCTTCTTCCAGTTTTCTTTATTATTGCCATAGCCTGCTATACGGCTGTTTTGCACAGTAAATCACAGCACTAAATGACATCAGCAGCAAATTGCACACTGTAATCCATATTACTGTAGGCCATATTAGGAGCCCTGGTGGCATAGTGCCTAAGGCATGTGACTGCTAAGCAGAAGTCTGGCGGTTCAAAACCACCAGCCACTCCTCGGAAGGAAGGTTGGGCGATCTACTTCCGTAGTGATACTGCCTCGGAAACCCAAGGAGGGGTCACTATGATTCAAACCAACTCAAAGGGCAGTGAGTTTTTGAGTAGTCCATATTACGAAACCTGCTGCCCTGGACTTGATTCTGACCCACAGCGCCCCTAGAGGACAGAGTGGAACTGCCCCACAGGGTCTCCAAGGCTGTCAGTCTTCACAGAAGCAAAGCCCAAACCACACCCACTGCTGTGGAGTCCATTCTGACTCACAGCGCCCCTAGAGGACAGAGAGGATCCCACACCCACTGCTGTGGAGTCCATTCTGACCCACAGCGCCCCTAGAGGACAGAGTGGAACTGCACCACAGGGTCTCCAAGGCTGTCAATCTTCACAGAAGCAGACTGCTTCATGTTTCTCCAATGGAGCGAATGGTGTGTTGGAACTGCCGACCTTTCGGTTAGCAGCCAAATGCTTTCACCACTGTACTACCAGAGCTCCTTACATAGTACCAAGGACAAGATGGAACGAACAAAAAGCAGACGCTCATAAGTGCAGTTCATGTCCTAACGTCAATACGTTGTACGTCGTCGGGAACTACCTGGAAATCGCCCTCCACGCCTGTGGGGGTCTCTGTGATTCCCCATTCGTATCTGTCTCCATCCGCCCCAGGACACTTGCACTGCCTGTTGCTGCAACCTCCACGGCTCTTTTATTTCCCCCTGGGGAGATTTTATTGTTACCTGGGGAAGCGGCGATACAGGATGTACACAAGGACAGGGACACGTTCAGTCCTTCCTGGCAGTCAACACCCTCCTGGCGGTCGGGACAGCGCTCAGCTCATCGCGCGTCCTCATGGTGCGCATGCGCATTGCGGCCCTTTGTGCCTTAAACGTGAAGGCCCTGATGTATTTGAAGCCCGGGAGCAGTTCCACGCACGCAGAGCCTCACGTTTCCTGGGTCAAGTATCGCGAGAACTTGGTGTGCGGCCGCTAGCTCACGTTCTTGGGCCCTTGGGCACCTGTTGGGGCGCTCGGCTGCTGTGGGGGACAGCCTGCACTGGTCTTGGGTCATTCTCTCATGTCCTGCAAACCTTGGCTTAAACGCCCCCTTTTCAGTGACGCTGTGACCGCCCAGTGCAGTAGCCCTGCAGCCTGTCTCTAGCTTTGCTTTCCCGTCTCGCCCGGCTAGTAACCTTTTTCCTGTGGTACCTACCCCCTTCCAACTGTATAACGTATTTGTTGGGGTGTTTTGTATTGTCTTGCGGGATCGTAATTTTTGGAGACCAGAGATGGTTCCCGGTCACCGCTGTATCCCACATATCTAGCCCCCTATCTGGCTCCTCATAGATGGTCAGTGAGCGTGTGTGAAATAAACCAGCCATCTGCTTCTTCACGTCTTCTCTCGTCTACCTCTTTGACGCGTCATCTGCGCACTCCTGCCTTCATTTCTCTCTTTTTGCTGTCCCACTGAGTTTCTCTCCCACTGAACTCCCTCCGCCATTTTCTTCAACCCCTTTGTTGGGTTGCCACCCATACCGGTGTGCCTGGTGTTGTGGTCTAGTGCTTCAGGCGCGAAAAAAGCGCACAGCGGGTGCCTGTAAAGACCAGAGGTGCGTCCTTTCCCGGGTGCGGGGTCTAGAAGCCCAAATGCAACAATGGCTCTAGGGGAGGGTTCTTCCTTGTGTGTATAATGAACTCTGTGTGTTTGTGTGTATAATTAAGTGTGTATGTCTGGGTGAGAGAGAGAGGGGGAAGATTTGAACATGCCTCATGGGGCAATCTACTTCCGTAGTGATACTGCCTCGGAAACCCAAGGAGGGGTCGCTATGAGTTGGGTCCAACTCAGTGGCACATAACAACAACAACAACAACATCATATATGACTTATGCATTTTGTGTTTCTGTGAGAGTTTGGGTCTGTGGATGTAAAAATGTGCATCTGTGTGTGTGACAGAGAGAGCTAAAGTAGCGGTTTTTGTCTGTAGGTAGATGACATGACTGTGCATTTTGGCTACTGATCACATGGGAGTTAGAGCCTGTGCGTGTGCGACAGGACGAGAGTGAGTGCTTGTCTCTGTAGGTGGATGACACAGGTTGTGTGTGTTTGGTGTTTCAAGGAGAGTTTGAGCCGTGTGTGCATAAGTCATTGTGTGTGCGTGTTCATGCGTGAGAGAGAGGACATCTCTGTGTGTGGGAATTGGGTCTGTGTTTGTGTGTCTGTGAGACTTTGGACCTGGGTGTGTGTGTGAGAGAGAGTGAGACTCAGAGAAAACGTCTCTGTGTCGGGAACTGGACCCGTGTTTGTGTGTCTCTGAAGGGGCTCTGGTGGTGCAGTGCCTAACGCATTTGACTGCAAACCAGAAGGTTGGTGGTTCAAACCCCCAGCCACTCCACTGAAGGAGGACTGGGCAGTCCACTTCTGTAAAGATTTACCACCTCGGAAACCCAAAGGTGGTCGCTGTGAGCTGAAATCAACTCAATGGCAGTGAGTTTTGTTTTGTTTTGTTGTGTGTCTCTGAGACCTTGGACCTACGTGTGTGTGTGTGTGTGTGTGTGTGTGTGTTTGTGTGTGAGAGAGAGAGGGAGAGAGAACACCTCTGTGTAGGGAATTGGATCCGTGTTTGTGTGTGTCTGAGACCTTGGACCTGGCTGTGTGTGTGAGAGCCAGGGAACATCTCTGTGTAGGGAGTAGGATCGTGTTTGTGGGGCTCCTTGGACCTGTGTGTGTGTGTGTGTGTGTGTGTAGTGAAGAAAGACCACACAGGCCGCTGCCAGTCGCCACCTGGGCCCTTCTTGCCTTCACACCTGCCCCCTTGCCCGGGGCCCCTTCCTGGCGGCCGCCCTGTCTGCAAACACTCTCTCTTCCTCTCCCGTGCCCTCCCGGGCTGCCAGCCCGGAGGCAGGCTACAGCCCTGCTCAGGGCTGGATCGCATGTCACCCTCCTCCCTGCACAGCCCGGCCCCTGCTGTGGCCGCTGATCCGCTGTCTGGGGGTGTATGTGCGTGTGTGGAGTGACCCCAAGGACCCTAGGAATGGAGGTTTAAGCCCGAGGAGGCACGCAGCCCCCTTCTTGGGCAATCCAGATGGGCTCCCTGGCGCAGAGGGTCTTTGGTGTTTACGGTGATGGGGGAGGGGGACATGTACCATGACCTGCCGCCACCTTACCGTGAATCTGAAATAGCCCGAGCAGTAAGGCCAAGAATGTGTCCCCAAAAAAAAGCTGGAGGTGTGTGTGATGAGCGTGGAACAGCAGGGCAAAGGGGACTGGACGGGCGCGAGGGGGAGGCTGCGGAGGGGGAGGCTGCCAGGGGTGTTAACTGGTGCTGGCAGCTGGGGATTAACTGGGAGGTGATAATGGGCAGGATGGGGCTCTGGGCCGGAGAGGAGGGAGGCATTTCCCGGGAGGGGGGTGACAGTGGTAATTAAACAGGTCACTCATCAAGCAGCTCCCTCCAGGCTGAGGGCTGGCCAGCTTCATCCATGACTCCTTTTCTGAAGGTGGTCCTTTCAATCCTTCCCCTTCCACAGATGGAGCACCTCAGAGAGGCCAAGGCACTTGCCTGAGCTCACACAGCAGGCCGGGGCAGAGCCAGGATTTGAACCCAGGTCTGCTTCAGGCCAGGGCCCCTGGTCTTACCCTGCATGGAGTCCTGCCATCGTCAGCAGGTGAAGGAAGAAGGGGGGGCCCTGTGATGGGGACTGGAGTGTGCGAATGTGTGTGGGAATGTCTGTGTTAGTGTGAGAGTGAACGTGTGTGGGCGTGAGTGTGTGCGCGCATGGATGAGTGGGTGTGTGTCCGCGAGTGTGTGTGGGAATGTGTTAGCGTGAGAGTGAATGTGTGTGGGCGTGAGTGTGTGTGCATGGATGAGTGGGTGTGTGTCCGCGAGTGTGTGTGGGAATGTGTTAGTGTGAGAGTGAATGTGTGTGGGCGTGAGTGTGTGTGTGTGCATGGATGAGTGGATGTGTGTCCGCGAGTGTGTGTGGGAATGTGTGTGTTAGTGTGAGAGTGAATGTGTGTGGGCGTGAGTGTGTGTGCGCATGGATGAGTGGATGTGTGTCCGTGTGAGAATGTGTGAAGTCTGTGTGTGTGTAAGTGGATGTGTGTGCATATATGAAAGTGTGTGTGAGAATGTCTGAGTATGTGAAAATGTGAAGTGTGAGGGTGTGTGTATGAGTGTGTATGTGTGAGATGGGTGTGTGAGAGTCTGTGAATACACGAGTGTGAGTGAATGGGTGTGAGTATAGGACTATGTGTGAGAATGAGTGTGTGTGAATACAGGAGAGTGTGTGTGTGTGTGTGTGAATGTGTGAAAGTGTGAATACGTGTTGGTGCATTGGTGAGAGGATCATAGCTCCCTTAAACTGGAACTGGAGCACTTGAAAGAGGAAGTTGGAAAAGTGAAGTTTCAGAAGGCTTCAGGACCAATTCACACCAGCAGACTGGCTACAAGGAGACGACGTTAACAAGTGTTGAGTGGGAGGTGGAGAAACTGGAACCCCTGTGCGGAACTGGTGGGAATGTAAAACGGTGCAGTGACTACAGAAAAAAATTTGGCAGTTCTTCAAAAAGTTAAACACAGAATTACTCCATGACTCCGCAGTGCCGCTCCTAAGTTATCCACCCAAGAGAAAGGGAGATACGTGTCCACACAAAACTTTGCACCCCAAAGGTCATGGCTGCAAGATTCAAGAGAGCCCCAAGATGGAGACAATGCAGCTGTGCACAAACGGATGGATGAACAAAGTGTGCTATATGCATACCATTGAATGTTAATTTGACTAACAATTTGTCCACTCAGTTCTTCAAGATTTCACATGTACACAATCCTACCATCTGTGGGAAATGTCTCATAGCGCCTCCCTTCCTACCTTTTATCAGCCTTAGAAGTTCCCTCTGCTCCAACTTGGCTAAGAGTTTCTGGTGATTGTAACCTGTGAATGTGTGTTGCATTTTGTCAAATGATTTTTCTGCATCTGAGCTTGTTAGGCCCGAGTAGCTACTGTTCTGGGCTTGTTGCAAGCCGGTGGACACAGGATCCGTCTCAGGTGTCCCGCAGGAGGCGCCCGGGGTCAGAGCCAGCAGTGGGTGGGGCTGGCCACACACCTTGGCCTGGGGCCCTGGGGCCAGATGTTTAGGCTTAACTGCCTGGCCACACAGGGACAGAGTGGCCGGGTAATTAAGCACCCACTTCTTTGGGGCTGGCAGACGGTGCCAGGGGCTGGAGGAGCCTTGGGCCGGAGTGCCAACAACAGCCCCAGCTCTGGCTTGCCGAGAGGGGCCAGGAGCCCAGACCCTAAGCTGAACCTTCTGATCTCTTTTCAGGCTGACCTTGAGCCAGGGCTCACCAACTGTCACCTGGAAATGGGAAAAGCAACACTTTCTTCCCTATTGGGGTACTACCTTCTGACCCCCAGTACGGGAAGGGAAACAGAAGCCCTCCCTACGCCCTCCCCAGGGTGAGAGTCAGCTGTTATTTAAGTCTCCCGGCTTAAAGAGATGGAGAAGAGCTCTCCACGTGTTCCTTTCCCTTTGGCCGCAGGCAGGGCCCATCCATCAGGACCCCCAGGCATCAGCACCACCCCGCCTCCTGCAAGTAATTGGACCCTGTTGGCCTTTGCAGACCGCGGGGGCGCCAGCCTCAGTGACCTTCCATGACCTCCAAGCCAGTCTCTTGTCTGGGGAGAGAAGGAGGAGGGGAGGGTTTCCTACCTGAGGCTGCAGGGGCTAGGATCAGAGTTGGGGTCTTCCAAGCCAGCCCCCAAATGACAGAGCAGCAAAGCCAAGGCACAGAGAGTGTAAAGGGCCCGCCCAAGGTCACACAGTGAGAGGACGATGAGGACTCCAGGCTGTGGTGAAAGCTGGGGGGTTCATGTCACATTATTCTGGGTTTGAGTCCTGGCTCTGCTGTGTGGCCCTAGGCAAGGACCTTACCCTCTCTGAGGTTCAGTGTCCTTTCCAAAACAAGAATCTCCGTTCCTCCCTACAAGGGCCACGGTGAGGACCGTTCCTGTTGCTTGTTGTCACTGAGTCAATTCCAACTCTTGACGACCCCACGTGGGCAGAATAGAACCACGCCACAGGGTTCACCTTTCGGGAACAGAACACCAGGCATGTCTTTTGAGGACTCGAACCACCAGCCTTTTGGCTAGCAGTCAAGTGCTGAACCATTTGGGCCACCCAGGGACTCCTGGTGAGGCCTGGATGTAGGGTTTAAGAGTCCACACTGGGCCAGGCACAGAGAAGCGAGCAATGGCACCCAACAGTTAGGGGACAATGAGCTTCAGTGAAGGGTGATGGGGACACTCATGGCGAGAGCTGAACCACACGATGAACTGTACACAAGGAAGCCTGGTGGGTCAGCTGCTGACCGAGAAGTGGGAGGTTCAAATCCACAAGTCTCTCCACGGGAGGCAGACCTGTTCCGGTGAAGAGGACAGCCAGCCTAGGAAACCATGTGGGGCAGGCCTAGGCTGTCACATAGGGTCACTATGAGTCAGGCAGACTTGACAACACCCAACAACAACATTTATAGCTGGATAAACTCACGGAGAAGTGAAGTAACTTCTCAGGTTCACATTGGGCAGGGCCTCCAACGCAGGTGTTGGAGACCCAAAGCTCAGCCCCTCGTCCGCTGAGCTAACGACACGCCCTTCAGCAAGTGGTCGTTAAGATGAAACAACATCAGGCGTGCAAAGACCTAAGACAGAGCCTGACGCATAGAAAGCACCTGGCAAATATTAGTCATTGATATTATTATGCACTCATGCATTCAGAAGGCATTTACTCTGTGTCAGGCTCTGCTTTCAAAGCAGGGTCCGCAGGAATGAATAAGACAAAGATTTCTGCCCTCGTGGGACGTCTTCACTGTCATCACTGCTCTGGTGGTCGTCTTCCTCACCATCATCATCATCTCCACCACCGTCATCCTCACACCATCACCACTGTCATAGTCACCACCACCACCATCCTGTCATAACCACCATCCTCCTCCTCACTGCCATAGTCACCACCACCACCATCCTATCA